GTAACATTGAAATGGCTTCCCAGTGTTAGTATGCATTAATTAGTTGATAGTGGAAGAGTGGTTCTTACGTTTCCTAGCCTACTTTCGTGGTTACTGGATTATTATTCACGAGTCAGTAGAAAGTAGGCCTGAATACAATGCATTACGCAACTTAATGTAAAGCATGCAGTGAAGATTGCTGTGCCCTTCAGGAACATACCGGAAATATTGTCAATCTCCTGTACTTCTTATCTCCCTTCCTCTTGTGCAGACTATCAAGTAGAGAATAATCCTCCATTCTCACGCGACCAACCCGGGATTACCGGGTATGTTGTCAATCCCCTGGACTTATTATTTACCGTACTCCTATCCTAGACTATCACTGGAAAATCATCCTGCACCCGCACTCCCACCTAGGGATTACCGGGTATGTTGTCACTCCCCTGTACTTATTATCTACCGTACTCCTATCCTAGACTATCACTGGAAAATCATCCTGCACCCGCACTCCCACCTAGGGGTTACCGGGTATGTTGTCAATCCCCTGGACTTCTTGTCTACGACGGTCCTATTTTCCTAAGTCTTTATTGTGGAGAATCATCCTACACCTCAACAGCCCACCCGGGAAATACCGGTTATATTTAAACTAATGGCTTAACCTCGAATTCAGTTACTCTGTCGTGTGGCAGGCATAATAGCGGTTGAACTACTTCGATAAAAGATTGGAAAAAATAACTAAAAACTATGACTATAGTATTAAATAGATCAGTACGTTTTTAATCCAAAAGTACGTGGAATACTTTCTACTCAGCATGATTATTTCTACTGAGAAGTTCAATATTATGAAGGCGTAATTTTAAGTAGTGAATATCGAGTTCTCCGCATTGTGGCTTGAGTCATCATTGTATAATTCTTGTAATTACACGTCAAAACTAGACTAAACGTCAAGTAGTTTGAATATGATAAAATAGCATTATTATCCTCAAAATAACTGAATATTTACAATGACAAAATGAAACTTCTCTCGGAATCCAATGATTAAAGGGCTTTAGTATGTGTCTATTAATTAAAACTCTTATACGCTCATCGTTCAGTACTTATATTGAAAACGCAGTTTGTTTTCATTGGGGGGGGGGGGGGGG